TTAATTTTTACTTTTTCTTTAGCCCAATTCCTCCCTTTTTTTTTTTTTTTTTTGAGAGTGGGCGAAAATTTTGAAAAATTGCAGAATCAAAATCAACGGTCCAATGGGTTTATTTCGGTTCGGTCCGTTTTAGTTAATCTCGCAGTTCTAATCTAAAGTGAGAAAACCCGCCGCTATGGCTAACCCTACTGTCACCGCCTATAAAGTTTGCTTATTTCCTTCGAAGTGTCGTCAGATTTTCTCACTCACTCCGTAGTCACATGAGATTCATTGAATTGATTTTATTGTAGCTACTTTGTCGTAAAATTTTCAATTTAGATCAAAGTAATTTTCTACATCTTATAAACCCTAGACCAGAATATTTGTATTTATCCTTTATTTTGTTGTGTCGGTCGAAGCAATGACTCCGAAACAGAAACGAAAGATGAATTTTGTAAGAAAAAGACCACGGCCATCTGCAAGTGGAGGATTTGCTCGGCCCCTCCGTCGGCGCATCGAGTTGAGCGGGAAGAAACGCGCTTCTGTCGATCAATTGGTGGAATATCTTCACTCTACCTACTGAGAGTATAAACGCCACAAGCTCCAGCCTTTCACTAAAGGGGTTCAGCAAATACTTGAACATATGGATGATTGTAATAATGAAGAATATGATGAGGAAATGATTCCTTCGAGAAGAAAGAGGCCAAAGAAAGTTGAGGAAGATGAAGAGAAAACGCGACTCATAGAAAAGCTTCAGAATAAAATGAGGGCTGGGAGAATTAATGATGATTTTGAGAATGATATTGACTCGTCATCATCGATGGCATCAGCTGCTAGCACTAGTACTTCGGAATCTGAATCGAACAACTCATCAGAGGAAGATAATTCGGCGGAGGATACTATTTATGAGGATAAATCTGAGCCCAAGTTTGATTTGATAAAGTCGATGCTGCGTGATAATTATAATGAAAAATCAAAGAAAATGGGGAAAGAGGGAAAAAATAAGGAGGTGGTGGAAATGGAGGTTGTGACTAACGAGGAGAATGAGTTAAATTTGATGAACGAGAGGCCTAAAACTGGAGGTAATGGTTTGTCTTTTGTCAATAACAAAAGTAATGACATTCGGGACAATAACTCTAATGGACCACTGTTTAAGGATTGGGGGGAGGGGGGGATGAGTGAAGTATTGGAGGAGTTGGAAAACGAGGTGATTGTGCCAATTTATCACCCACATGTGCCACAAAGCCTTAGAGTGGAACCGATGTTAGGGATATTGTTGCACGGGCCACCTGGGTGTGGGAAAACCAATCTAGCGCCAGTGAGGCCAGTTCTCCCTTTTATAAGATATGTGTTACTGAATTGGTGTCTGGAGTTTCAGGTAAAATTATTTCTTGTTGTAGGTTTCTGCCCTTCAACTCAAATTCCACATGATGTGTATCCTCCTTGTTTTGTTGATGACAAATTTTTATCATGAGTTTTTACTCCCAATGATGACATGGTATACATAGAACCATGTGTATAATTGTATGTAATCTTATCCTCCTATATGCTTCTAGTGCAACAATTTGCCCAATTTCAGTTTTTCTCTATTATGTGTGGGGGTAAAATTATGGACTTGGTTTTGTTCCTGCCCTTGTTCACACAATTTTAAAGCTTGCTGAGATACTTTATTTGCTGAATGTTTCAAGCACATCAGAAGAAAATATCAGAGATCTATTTACTAAGGCCCACAGGACAGCCCCATCCATTGTGTTCATAGATGAGATTGATGCGATAGCTACTAAACGGGAAATTTTGAATAGGGTGATGGAGCAACTAATTGTGATACAATTGATGTCATGCATAGATGAGTCATCGAGAATTGTCAAACCCATATCCAGAAGTAGGACTGCAGAGAGTTCGGATTGTAGGCTTCGGTATGTATTCGTTATTGGAGCAACAAATAGGCCTGATGCTATTGATCCTGCATTGAGGAGGCCTGGACGGTTTGACCGTGAGATTTATATAGGTGTTCCGGACAAAAGTGCAAAGGTTGATATTTTGTCCGTCCTTGCTCGCAATCTTAAAGTTGAAGGTGCTTTTGATCTTCTGAAGATAGCTAAGTCCACTCTAGGGTTTGTTGGAGATGACTTGGTAGCACTTACTAAAAAGGCTGGCAATCTAGCCATGAATCGGATAATAGGCCAACGAAAGGCTGAGGTTTGTACAAAACATGTAAAGGGGAGCCTATTGAAAGATGGTGGAAACAACCTTGGGCACCAGAAGAAATAGAAAAACTCAGCATCACAGAAAGAAGATTGCTGAAGAAATTTTTGACCATCGAACTCTCGAGCCATTGTAATTTCATGCTTTCATCAATTGTAATTTTTAGCTTTCAAGTAATCGATGATCAATTTACAATCAATGCATTTCAATTTCATGTTCCAAGCTTTCTACAAATTATAATCAACTTTTCTTTCATCCCGAAACAATCGAGAGGAGGAAGGTAGTCTACCGGAGCATACTACTTCCGCACGATGTCCCTTTCTATGCCAAGCAGAAAGGCACCCCATGAAACCATGTCATGCCTAGGTGTGCCAACTCCGGGTGAGATGTGTTCAAGTAGAATTTCAATGAATTCAAACACTACAAACGGTCCCACATGCATACCGCAATGTCTATTGAGAGATCATTTTACCTTGGCAATTTATCAAACACCTAGTAGGCAAAATCATTTTGTTTTAACAATGGGTTGAAAATTTAGTAGAAATCCAACCAATATATTCACAATTCAATCCCAAACAATTTCTCCACAATCTACCTAATGCCCCTACTCCTCAATCAACCAAATTTATCCACAAACAACAAAGTGTCCATTATATAGAAAAGAGGGCAAAGAAAGATGATAACATACCTTGAAGTTCTTTGGTGAAAAAGAATTGAGGAATTGAAGGTAAAATTGATGAATGGGACACGCGTGTGTGAGTGCTGTGTACTTGTAAAATGTAAAGTGGAAGTGTCGTGCATACAGATTTAAAATGGGTGTAGTGGAAAAAGTGTTGTGTGTGTGTGCAAAGTGGTGGTGGGAGTGTTTGTGTTTGGCTTTTAAACCTATTGTCGGGTCATACTATGAGACAGCATAGTGTAATCTCATGCGGTTTACACTATGCAGTCACATAGAACATCTAGAAAATACCAATATATTTTCTGATGCATACGGTAAGACTGTACCAATGGTAGCTCTATGCGATTGCATATACTACCATAAAGGTGAAAATGCCCTGGTTCAAAATTTTTTTTCTTCACTATTCCCGACCCCTAAGGCCTCGATTTTCGTGCCTAACAAGTTGAAATGAGTATGTAAAATATGGAAAAAACTTTAAAACACATTTATCTCCTTAAAAACTTGTTTATGGTAAAAAAAAAAAAAAACTTTTTAATCTCATTTTTCCATCTACAACTCCAATCGGCTTCCCACCACCCCAAAACATAATTAACGTGTTTATAAATTGTATGGTGGTGCATGTATGCCTCGAAATTGGTTCGAAACCCACTTTTAAACTTGAAAACACTTGTTGATCCAAGAAAGCTTCAAAATGATATTATTGTCTTTAAATGTGTGATTTTCACACCGAACCAATCAAGTAACACTCCGACACCCCAAACTTGTGCACAACACATGTAAATTTAGTGTGGACCATACATAGACTGTTTGTGATATATATGGATGATGAATGAGCTAAAATTACTAAAAACTATCAAAAACACGAAAATTTTCTAATCTAATGCGTAAATCAAATAATTAGAAGGGAAAAACAACCATTGTGTTGCCTCCTAACAAGTGTTTGTTTATAGTTTATAGCTTGACTTTATAGCGGTTGATTCACTCCGGTGTTCTAAGATGAACATTGGACTTTTCCTTTGAAAATTTACCTCTTCAGTAAGGCATCAACTGCTGTCAATTAACTTTAAAAGTCCATTTGCTTTCATGAGTGATCTTTATAGCCCCACATGGAAATACCACAATAATTGTGTATAGACCTGACCACCTTGACCGGCCAACCTCAAACTTTCTTCTTTTTTAAAGCTTTGCGTTCTCATAAGCTTCTCGTCGAAACTCATACATTTCATTCAACTGAATTTAAGTTCTGACCACCTAGTAAGCACGATGTTCTAATTCAACGGCAAGTGGTACACTTTCTCAAAAACCAAGTGATAAGAAGACATGCCTATAGGTGTTTTGAAAACTGTTCTGTATGCCCACAATGAGTTGTCAAACTTCTTAGACCAATCATTTCTCGAAGAACTCACTGTTACCTCAAGTATCTCTTTTAATTCTCGACAGGAGATTTCAACTTACCCGTTGGTCTGAGGGTGTTAATGAGTAGGTATATGACGTCGAACGCCATATTTAGCCAATAATAACTCAAATTGCCAATTGCAAAAGTGTTTGCCCCATCACTTGTGATAGCTCAAGGAGTGTCATAATGGGTGAGGATGTACTTCTTTAAAAACCTAATCACTACGTTAGCATTGTTGGTTGGCAATGCTACTGCTTCCACCCATTTGGAGACATAATCAACTACAGCGAAGATATACTGATTTGAGAATAACGGAGGGAATATAAAGTCAATATCCCACACATCAAAAAGTTCTACCTCTAGAATTCTATTTAAAGGCATCGCGTTCCTTCTAAAGATGATTTTCGTGTACTAGCATTTGTCACATCTCTTTATAAACTCAAAAGCATCCCGAAAGAGTAAAAACGACTAGAACCCAGGCTTTAAAACTTTGATGACTGTCTTGGATGCACACATTGCTCCAGCATTCGGGGTACTTCATTCTCAGGAACACATCGCTGAATATTCTGATATTCCCTTCACCCGCAAAGAATGAGATCCTTCCAAAAATAATATTTCAAGTCGGCAAATAATTTCTTTCTTTGATGACTTGAATAATCTGGTGGAGTGATAGACTTGGCCAAATAGTTTACTATATCAGCATACCAAGATGCCTATTCCACACTAAACATTTGCTCATCCGAAAAAATCTCATTTATTTCTACCGACTCCTTTTGCTCTTCAGGCTCAAGTTGAGATAAGCGACCGGCTACCAAATTTCCACTTCCTTTCTTGTCCCTAATCTCCTAATTAAACTCTTGTAAAAGTAGTACCCAATGGATAAGTCTCGGCTTGGCATCCTTTTTTGTCATCAAATACTTTAGGGCAACATGATCGGTGTAGACTACGACCTTTGATCCCACAAGATATGATTAAAAGTTATCAATGGTATAGACCATAGCTAAAAGCTAATTCTTAGTGGTGGTATAGTTGAGTTGTGTGTCGTTCAAAATTTTACTTGCATAATAGATCACGTAAAATATTTTGTTCTTACGTTGCCCTAATATGGCCCCCACAGTAAAATTACTGGCATTACACATTAATTCGAATGGAAAACTCCAATCTAGTGCAATGATCACTGGTGCTGAGGCCAGCTTCTCTTTTAAAGTGTTGAAAGCTGAAGGACATTCTTTAGAGAAGTCAAAAGTGACATCCCTAACTAGCAGGTTAAATATGGGCCTTGTGATCTTTGAGAAATCTTTAATAAATCGTCAATAAAATCCAACATGCCTAAGAAAACTGTGACCACCTTTAATTGATGTAGGAGGCGATAATTTCTTGATAACTTGAATTTTTGCTTTGTTCCCCTCAATTACATTTGCAGAATTTTGATTTTCCAGCACAATGCACTCATGTACCATGAAATGACATTTTTCTCAGTTCAATACCAAGTTTGTCTCCCTGCATCAGTGTAATAACATGCTAAATGCTCCAGACATTCATCAAAAGAAGATCCAAACACCGAGAATTTATCCATGAAGACTTCTATAAATTTCTCAATCATGTCGGATAAGATCGCTGTCATATAACGTTGAAAGGTGGTGAGAGCATTGCACAAACCAAATGACATCCTATGGTATGCAAAAGTACCATTGGGACATGTGAAAGTGCTCTTCTCCTAATCATCTGGCTCTAATAGGATCTGATTATATCCAGAGTATCCGTCGAGAAAATAGTAGTAAGACTTCTCTATCAATCTTTCTAACATCTGATCGATAAATGGAAGGGAAAAGTGATCCTTCCGAGCAACAGCATTAAGTTTGCGATAATCAGTGCAAACTCTCATTTCTGTAACAAACTTGGTGGGAATTAATTCATTCTTTTCATTCTACGCCTATCACCCATCTTTGGCACAACTTGAATTGGGCTAATCCATGTACTCTCTGATATTAGGTAGATGATACCTGTATCCAAGAGTTTCAATACCTCAGCTCTGACCACTTCTTTCATGTTTGGATATAGTCTCCATTGACCATCTACACCTGGTTTTAAATTTTCTTCCATGAAAATCTTATGCATGCACAGGAGTTACAAATGCATGCACAGGAGTTACAATACCTTAGCTCTGACTACCTCTTTCATATTTGGATATAGTCTCCATTGACTGTCTATACTTGGTCGAAAATTCTTCTCCATGAGAATCTTATGTGTGCACAGTGAAGGGCTGATTCCTTTAATATCTGCAATAGACCACCCAATAGATGTCTTATTATCTCTTAGTACCCAAAGTAGACTTTCTTTCTCTACCTTGCTGACATAATTCGAAATAATTACTAGAAGTGTAGAGGAATCCCCTAAAAAAGCATATCAGAGCTAAATAGACAATGTATTGGTCTCTAGAAACCTTACACGTGCCTCATATGCATCTGACAGGTTATGTAGCAGAAATGTTTCTTGGACCACCTTCTCAATTACATCTATCTGAAAATAGCTATCTGACTCAGTAGGAAATTTCTTAACTTTGAAGACATTGAAAGAAATATGCTCCTCACCAAGACTCAAAATCAGTTGACTCTTTGAACATCAATAAGAGCTCTTCCTGTAACTAAGAATGGTCGACCCAATATGAGTGTAACATTCTTGTCTTCCTCCATGTCAAGAATGAGACAATCAGCTGGGAAGATGAATTTTTCCACTTTAATCATTTGGTCTTCAATTATCCATGTTGGATGAGTAAGGGATCGATGATCTAGTTGAAAAGTTACTGTAGTTGCTTTAGCCTCTCCCGATCCGAATTTCTAGAAAATAGAAATTGGCATTAAATTAATACTTGCACCTAAATCGCATAAAACTTTATCAAAATGACAATCTCCAATGGTGCAGGGCACAGTAAAACTCCATTGGTCTTTTAACTTTAGAAGTAGCTTTTTCTGAATTCTAGCGATACATTCC